AACCCTCTGCGGAGACCGTGCGTGTCGAGCGCGCGAAATGCAGGCGAGCACTGGCGACTTTGTAGTACAACTTTAGTACGCGGGGTATCTGGGGAGCTGGAAGATGAGAACTGGTGACTTGGTAGTACAACTTTAGTACGCGGAGCAATCTGTGGAGCTGAAACTTGAGAACTGGCGACTTTGTAGTACAACTTGAGTACGCGGAGCAATCTGTGGAGCTGGAAGCTGAGAACTGGCGACCTTGTAGTACAACTGTAGTACGTGGAGTATCTGGGGAGCTGGAAGCTGAGAACTGGCGACCTTGTAGTACAACTTTAGTACGCGGAGTATCTGGGGAGCTGGAAGAGAGTCCCACAAGAGTGTCCCGGAGTCCCGCAACAGTGTCCCACTAGAGTGTCTCACAAGAGTGTCCTGCAAGTGACCCACAAGAGTGTCCCACAAGAGTGTCCTACAAGAGTGTCCCACAAGAGTGTCCCACAAGAGTGTCCTACAAGACTGTCCCACAAGAGTATCCTACAAGAGTGTCCCACAAGGAGTCCCACAAGAGTGTCCCACAGAGTGTCCCACAAGAGTGTCCCACAAGAGTCTCCTACAAGAGTGACCCACAAGAGTGTCCTACAAGAGTGTCCTATAAGAGTGTCCCACAAGAGTGTCCCACAAGAGTTTCCTACAAGAGTGTCACACAAGAGTGTCCCACAAGAGTGTCCCACAAGAGTGTCCTACAAGAGTGTCCTACAAGAGTGTACCACAAGAGTGTCCCACAAGAGTGTCCCACAAGAGTGTCCTACAAGACTGTCCCACAAGAGTGTTCTACAAGAGTGTCCCACAAGAGTGTGCCACAAGAGTGTCCCACAAGAGTGTCCCGCAACAGTGTCGCTCAAGAGTGTCTCACAAGAGTGTCCCTTAAGAGTGTCCCTTAAGAGTGTCCGACAAGAGTATCCCACAAGAGTGTCCTACAAGAGTGTCCCACAAGAGTGTCCTAGAACAGTGTCCCACAAGAGTTTCCTAAGAGTGTCCCACAAGAGTGTCCTGCAAGTGACCCACAAGAGTGTCCCACAAGAGTGTCCTACAAGAGTGTCCCACAATTGTGCCCTACAAGAGTGTCCCACAAGAGTGTTCCACAAGAGTGTCCTATAAGAGTGCCCCACAAGAGTGTCCTACAAGAGTGTCCCACAGGAGTTTCCTACAAGAGTGACCCACAAGAGTGTCCTACAAGAGTGTCCTACAAGAGTGTCCCAGAAGAGTATCCCACAAGAGTGTCCTACAAGAGTGCCCCACAAGAGTGACCCACAAGAGTGTCCTACAAGAGTGTCCTACAAGAGTGTCCCAGAAGAGCGTCCCACAAGAGTGTCTTACAAGAGTGTCCCACAAGAGTGTCCTACAAGAGTGTCCCACAACAGTGTCCCACTAGAGCGTCTCACAAGAGTGTCCCTTAAGAGTGTTCTACACGAGTATCCCACAAGAGTGTCCTACAAGAGTGTCCCACAAGAGTGTACCACAAGAGTGTCCCACAAGAGTGTCCCACAAGAGTGTCCTACAAGAGTGTCCCACAAGAGTGTCCCACAAGAGTGTCCCACAGAGTGTCCCACAAGAGTGTCCTACAAGAGTGTCCCACAAGAGTTTCCTACAAGAGTGACCCACAAGAGTGTCCTACAAGAGTCCGACAAGAGTGTGCCACAAGAGTGTCCCACAAGAGTGTCCCATAAGAGTGTCCCACAAGAGTGTCCCACAAGAGTGTCCCACAAGAGTTTCCTACAAGAGTGTCCTACAAGAGTGTCCCACAAGAGTGTCCTACAAGAGTGTCGCGCAAGAGTGTCCTGCAAGTGACCCACACAAGTGTTCTACAAGAGTGTCTCACAAGAGTGTCCTACAAGAGTGTCCCACAAGAGTGTCCCACAAGAGTGTCCCACAAGAGTTTCCTAAGAGTGTCCCACAAGAGTGTCCTGCAAGAGTGTCCCACAAGAGTGTCCCACAAGAGTGTCCTATAAGAGTGCCCCTCAAGAGTGTCCGACAGGAGTATCCCACAAGAGTGTCCTACAAGAGTGTCTCACAAGAGTGTCCTAGAAGAGTTTCCCACAAGAGTGTCCTACAAGAGTGTCGTGTAAGAGTGTCCCACAAGAGTGTCCTGCAAGTGACCCACAAGAGTGTTCTACAAGATTTTCTCACAAGAGTGTCCCACAAGAGTGTCCTAGGTCCTACAAGAGTGTCCCACAAGAGTGTCCCACAAGAGTGTCAGAGTGTCCTATAAGAGTGTCCCACAAGAGTTTCCTACAAGAGTGGCCCACAAGAGTGTGCTACAAGAGTGTCCTACAGAGTGTCCCGCAAGAGTGTCCTACAAGAGTGTCCTTTGGACATATTAGTTTTTCGATCGTGCTTGCATTCGGGTTCGTGGGTTCCATCTTGTTGTTTCTTAAATAGGTGTTTGTCTGAATCTTTGATTGACCCACAGTTCTTGATAGTTTGTACATAGTTCTCTGATTTTAGGTGAACTCATGATTTGTTGTCATAGAGATGTATAAAGAATTGGCGGCCTTATGGTTTCTCCTTCCCTTCACTGTACTGCAAGCTTCCAAGCCTCCACACTAAGGCTTTTGGCAGTGACACTCTCTAGGCCTGTGCTCTGAAACGATTCTATCAGGCGTTTATTTTCCGTCACAGGTAAAACGCTACCGTGGCTGGTGTTTATATTTCTCATGCATCGCTTGACACTGGGCACACTGGAAGGTCGCTGTGATTCGAAGTTAGGTCGCTTATTGGTCGTGATATTGTTCGTGTCATCACGAGAAATAGACGATGACCTTGAGACTTTGTAATTGAGCGCCAGTGCCATGCCCAGCCTGGTCAGCGCCTCGCTGTTTAGGTGAGCGCCAACCAGTCGTTTAAATGTACAGAAGCACAGCCGGGAAAGAGACACAGAAGAATGCTTCTTTCAGGTTGTCTATGTTGCGGCAAATCTGAAGGCCAATGCTGGTGTATTTGCATGAGTTTTGTGCTGTTTCGTGAGTGTTTGGTTCTTCGGAGTTTCTATCTCAACCAATTTGGTGTGGTAAGGCTCCTTCAGCAATTCAAGATGCAATGTGTAGATGCATAAATAGAGCTTTGAGATCTTGCCTCTACGACAGCCTTGCAATGGCATCAATGGTGCTTCGAGCTCCTCACGGGTTCCAGAGGGCAGCTCCAAAAAGGTGGACGTGGCGCAGGTTTTCTGGCGAAAGCAAGGGCGGCTCATAGGCGACCTGTTTGTTGCTCCACTACGAGTGGCGTGCAGGCTTAAGTTGTATCAAGTTCAGGCCTGCACGCAGTTTGGGATGCTTCTTGACTCGGTGTTGGATTTTGTTTTGCCATAGAAGCTGCAGGCGGCCGAGCGTGGAGATGGGGCTGAAGCCTGGTGCCCAGCACGAAACTGGGCAAGTTCTGTAGAGTGTTCTATAGATATATATATATATATGAGATGTTGCGTCTTGCGACATCTCGCAGGTTTTTCGGAGACCTTCGCTTTGGATGTATATGGGGCAGCCCGTGTTCATCTATATATGCAGCCAGCAACAGTATGAACCGGATTTCTGGCACTTATTGAAATCAGCAAGTTGCTTCGATGAGCCCAAAAGTTATTCCCTTTAGGCCTTTATCCAGTAGAAAAAGAGCCAACTTGGATCCTATAACCAGGCACCAATTTTTGTGCCTTCAGGTGTCTTCTTGCAGTTTTTCAGGGGGATCTCTTCATTTCTTCCACGGCACTTTCTGAGGCCTTAGCGGCCCTCACTGGGGCCCCTGCCCGGCACTACAGCTTGCGGTACCACGCTCATGGTGAGGAAGGCTGGTGGCCAACTTTCTCCTCCATCCTCTCGTGCCCCAGGACCAAAGCAACAGCACTCTCAAAGAGCATGTTGAATCAATGTCGAACAAGTTCGAACAAGTTGTTTTCTGGCAAGCTTCGCATTTTCAGATTATTGCTTTTGGCAAGGAGGGACGGACTGTCCTTTTGACTAGTTGTTTTTTCATTTGTTCTGCCGCCTTCATACCGTTCGCTGCGTTCGCTGCGCTTTTTTGGACCACTTCGGGCTCGTGAGGTACCCGAAGAGTTGGAGCTTGACAGGCGATGGAAGATGGGGCTGGACGTACCAAACTCGCTTGGTCTCCACCGTGGGCGAAGGTGTCAGGTGGGCGAAAGATAACTCTGGAAACTTGGCCCTTCACAGCTACACACCTTCTCTTGGTGCTCGAGAAATGTCAAAAGACTAAGACTAACGACTAACATTGTCATGATTCTCATATATTCTCATTCAGAAACCTTGGCTACCCTTGGTTTCAGCAAGATCAGGGTCCAAACTAGGGCTTCACATGTTTGAACTCAGAGTGAGAGAGTTGGAGAACAAAGTTGGCTGACTCAGGCAGCATGACAGACTTCTTCTGGGGTCGAGGCGCAGCCGCTTCCTACACGTTTCCACCTGAACAGCTTTCACAAATCAGAGCTTAGCTTGTCCGCACCGAGAAGAAAAGTAAAGCTGTTGTAGATTGCAGGTTCTGCCCGTCCTTTGCTGGGCAGCGCATGTTCTTGCCACAGAAACAGTTGCCCCAAATGTGCCTCTTCATGATTTGCCACATGCATAATATGTTTGTAGGCGCATGATGTTGCATGACCTTTTGTCGTGTACGCCTGCTGCTCAAGTTGCAAGCTTTAGATTGCAACCTGGGCCCAGTATCATTTAGGGCCGGAAATGTGCTTTCGCGCAGAAATGAGGGTTCAAGACCAAAAGTTGTTTGCCTGGCCTGGCATGTTAATTCAAAGATATGCCATGTGAGTCTACGAGTGCATCGGAGAGTTGCTCCAGCAGATCAGCTGAGATCCAGTGATTTTGCATGCTTGAAGTCACCCCAACAGATCCGCACTCAAAAGCGACCCCAAGAGCCTCACCCTGAAGAACCAAGTAAAATTCACTTCAACAGTCACGTCACAGTCGCCACTTGCCCGCATACTTTTCTGCCATTGGGCATATGCCATGTCGCAGTGGTTCCAGCGACATGCGCTGGGACCGATGTGGTGTTGCATCCTGGGGCTGATCGCCGTTCACACTCCTCAGGCCCCATGTTCATTGTAAGAGTGCAGCACCCCACCAAGGTGATCCAAGGTGTGTCGAGTGGTGTGTCGTTGTTTGTTTGGAAGCATGCTGCGACGGAAATGGCTGGTGGAAAGGGGTCCAACACGTGGTGCCTTCCTTCACCAGGCCTTGGTGCACTGGATGGGTGCCGAAAGGACTTGATGACATTGAAACAATTGTCTACACAACACATCGTGTGGAGCAATTGAGCTGGTGGACTGTTTGTGCGCCAGAATGTTGCAACTGACTTACATTGACCAAAGAATTCGATACACCCAGCCCACACGAGAAAGCACTGGAGACAAAACCATTACCACTGGGGTGTTTTGTGTTCCTTTTCTGGGGTTCGTGGGAGCAGAAGTCCCCTTAAAACTGGTGTGCAGGCATTGGACTTGCAAAGCTGCGATCAGCGCTGGCGCCGAGAGGAGGTGCCTTGGGCTGGTGAAAACGGAAAGCGGATATGCCAGCGTGCTTGGTTTTTGACCACCAGGGTGCTCGTGCAGTGGGCTACAGTGGTCTAGCATGTTTTTTGCCGTTCCAAGTGTTTGGGCCCAGACAAAGACAGCAAAAACATTGGAAACGAGCGTGCTACCAGAGGGAGCACTTGTGGAGCTTCAAGAAGGGGGGAAGACCTTGATGATTGTCTATCTTTGAACAACTTGACCGCCAAGCCATCCACTAATGACCTTGCTCGATCTCACTTAAGCACGTGGCATATTTGATCATATTTTGGGGTTCACTTAAAGCAGCACTTGGTCTCACAAATCCAAGACCAATTGTCCTTGGACTGGCAAGCTGGGTGGGGAAAACGAAGGGGGAAAAAGTTATGACCCACTGGCACGCAGTCTTGATCAGCTCGCTAGGCCTTGTCACAGCTCTATTTGCGACTGTCGCAATGGGATCGAGAAGGCGCAGTGGCACCCAGCTAGCACACTGAAGCAAAAAGACAGCCAGGCACTAGGCCTCAGGCCCGCTCTGGTTGTCGTACTAAATGTTATTTGCTTTGTTTGATCAATGGTGCGATGATGCATGTTTTCAGGTAAAGAAATTGAAATGCATCCTTTGCGAGAGAGATTTGCTTCTTTAGACTGCAAGTGGTGGTTAGCACCAACGTTCCCCATCTGCCAACTTGGTGCATTGCAAGCTGACAAGTTGATATGTGTCCTTGATAGCTCCTGTCCTGTGTTACAACCTGCCCTGAGTGCCCTGGGCATGCACTGGAAACCTCCATGAGTCATGAGTGCGCAAGGACTGTCACCCCAGTCGCCGCGCACGAGTCGAGCGCACGCAGGAGTGGAGCAGACCCACCACTTTTACGATATGTGAGCGCCTCAGATCGTGGCACCAAACAACGTCGTGGCAGGAAGTTCACCTGTTCCTAATAGCGATGCCCTTGTTCCTAGCAGCGATGCCCTTGCGACTAGTAGCGATGCCAGGAGCCCCTAGTAGCGTCCTTGTTCCTAGTAGCGATGCACCATGATGCACCTGTTCCAAGACGTCTCACAGTGAACCAAGGTCCACCACCTTTATGCTTCTTGCCCGGGGCGCCTCATTTGCGCGGCAGCCAACGCGAGAGGAGGAGGTAGCATGAAACTTTCAGTTCCGGGCTGTTTGAAATAGATGTTTGAAGGTGTTTCCCCAAGGTTGGCTTTACCTTTTCTCAGCTCACATCCATTGTGTCCGCTTCTGTCCCTTGAATTGGCCCTTGGGTTCCGTGGTCTCACCACGGCACCTCTGTCCGGGGCTCACCGGACCGTCGTCCCAGGTACCAGCCGAGCGGTCGAGTGGTCATGTCATGCCTCCAAGTCAACCACCATGCTTGTGGCCACACAGCATCTAGCCCACCATTTTACCTGAGATGAAGCTGATAAGAACCCAGAGACTTGCCAGCAGCGCAACGCGAAAACGCGGAGGCTGAGATGGAACCAACCATCAAGAGCCGTTTGCTGAATGCCTTTGCGCGATTAGGCCAGGGCATGTATGAAAGCCAGGAATGAAGGACTTGACTTCTTTTCGGCGTGTGTTCTCACTCAGGTAGACCAATATACCGACCCCTGTCTAAGGTGTACGTCATCAGACAGCCATATTGAAAGTACTGGAGTTCAAGCACCGGAGTTTGTCATAGCTATCGCATGCTATCGCTCAGTGTTGTTTGTTTTTTTTCATAGACTCGGGGGTAGATGTTGACTAGGAATTCTTAGTTCACCTTCCTATATAACTAGCCCAGGAGCACCTCTCCCCAGAAAAGAAGAACAAATTTGATGCCCACATCCAAGATCTCAGGCAAACCATTCAAACATCCCGCTGCAACACCGAAAGAAGATTCTTGGATGTATCGGGATGTTGCTAGTGGTTTGGTTGCTCGAAACCGTCCCTGAAACAATGGGGCCAGCCCTGCTGGGTCTTCGCCCAGAATGGGCGAGGTGGCTTTCCAGAGCGCTGTGGGATTTGCGTGGCCGCCCTGGACACCTGGAGCGTTGGCATTCAGAGCCACTTTCGGCCAGGCACGATCTGGGCAGTTCATGTGGCCCGAAGTCCAGGTCGAGAAACCTTTTCAACGCTGAGATACTCCATCATCCAGGCAACCTCATTTGGACGAGTGAGAGTGGAGAAACTCCATCATGAGAGGGGAGTGACTTTTGGGCCAATGAAGATGTGGGCGACTTTGGACATCGCTCAGTTCCCGACCATCGCTCCGCAGCCAAGGCAGCTTTGGACATCGCTCAGCAGGAGATCCTTTGGTGGCGAAGCATGTTGTGGAGCAGCTGCCTCCAGGGAAGTATTGTCATGCCACTTGGATTTGGTCATCGCTACACTTCCGGAAAAAAAAAGAAAACACACACACACATGGACCCGGGTCGAATGGCACCGAAGACGGTTGTCCTGGTTGAAACCGCTTCACCACGGGTCCACCACGGGATCACCACACGGGACATCCACGCGGGATCCCACCGCTCGGGACCTCGGAACCGTGAGTGTCACGCAGCGGGTGGAACGACCCGGTTTCATCCGGTGAACGCGCGAGCGATGTTGAGCACTTGGCTCTTGCATGTCATTAGCTCGTTCGGAAACTCATGGACATCCAGCAAGTGAATAGCAAGTGCATCTCTTCGGTCGATACAACTTATGTTAACATGCTGGTAGCTTTGAGAGGGAAGAGAACAGTCTTCTTTGAGGCATTGGCTTTGGAGAGGGAGCACTGGGAAAATCTCTACGTGTCCCCTTTGGAGATTCACGAGCACTTGGCGCGTGACGTGCTTTACGGCAAGCGTGCAGCTTGCCCCAAATCAAGAGACGTTCCAAAATTGAGAAGGTGCCTGTCAAAGAACCTACAAACGTGTATACCACAATGCATGTCAGTTCCTGAATCTTTTGAATCTTGAAACCGGCTGACAGTCAGACACAATGTCACGGCGAATCTTGCACCAGTTTCCAAACCCAAAAAAATGACGCCATGAAGCCGCTCCAAAAGCTCCTGGTTTGCAGAGGTCCTCCTCCTCCATGGCAGCCTCACCCAGCCCTCGAAGCTCCCTGCCTTTCGCTTTGCCCAATCAGTGGCCATGGCTGGGGTGCCTGGGCGGCCGAAGCATCAGCTGTACATGGGACGGGCGAGGAGTTTTCACCGGTTCGAAGGGAAGAGGGCCGAAGCATGGATCATGGATGAAGAGAGTAGGATCATGGTTCAGGTGTTTTTCCTTCAAGGTAAGCGTTCTCGTTCTGGTGATGGATGCGCGTTTTGGGTGGTTCTTGCGGGGTGCAAGATTGGTTTCTTTTTGAAAGGTCATCATCGCTACACCAGGCTGTTGCACTGTATATAGCTGTCGGTCTTGGCCTTGGCAACACGGGTAAGCTTCCCGACTCATTACGGTACTCACCAGATTAGTTCTGTGAAACTCGGCCTGCAACTGCCCCAATGGCCCTTGTTCAAAAGAGCCTTTCCCCTCAAAACCCAGTGTCTAAAAGGAAGGTGCAAGGATATTCAAACATACCACTGTTGTGTGAAAACGAGTATGCATCATATGTGCTTCACATATGTTATATATATACATACATATATACACTGTGTTTGGACATATTAGATATTAGATAGATAGATAGATAGATAGACTAGATAGACTAGATAGATAGATAGACTAGATAGACTAGATAGACTAGATACATTCGACACAGGCTTCGACATCATCATACATCGTTCTTAGGTTGGAGGCCATCGCTCCATGTATTTGAGGTGGACCTCCCTGCAGCCGTGCGAGTTGATGAGCTCTTGGCCGACCTGGCCGGCCTGCCGCTGGGCGCAGGGAGACCTCCCAGTTCTTTCCATTGGAAAAAGGAACAATAGACCAAAACCATCCAAAACCCTTAGGGCCAGGGCCAGGGTGTCTCATGTTCAAAAACATGCAACCACTTCCAATGTATTAGGCCGGTCAATATGACCTATCGGGCAAAACAGCATGTCCCCCAATCCCGTTCTTGTTTTTCTTGGGCTAAGTTAAGTGCCCCCACCTTCCCACCAGTCCAGTGCCTCGCGTTAGGCTCTCGCAGGTGGAGCTGGTCCTGCTGTCACTGCCACCCGGTGTGGGAGCCCTGGTGGCGATGGAGGTGACCTGCCGCTTCGGTGTCCAGGTGAGAATGCCTCGAATTGATGGGAGTTGGGGTCGGATTGGGCGTGGATTTGGGATCATTTGGGTGGGATCATGCGTGGTCCCACCAATTTCACAGATAGACGCACATTAAGTGGTACTAGGTATAGTTCAGAGTCTTGGACTTTCTCAGAACGTGGGGATGAAGGCCATCATCCGAACCGACACTCCGTGTTCCACGACACTCGGCCCCTACTATGCTTGTGCCACTTGCCGAAGGCATTGGATGTTGGGCGCCTGGCGCTCACATCGCTGCCCGGCCCCAGAGCGCCAGCGCCTTTGACGTCGCGAGCCCCGGGCGGGGAGGAGTTCCCCGCACGCGCGGAGGTCAGCGCGAGCGTGCCAACCGGCGCGAAGCGGCGGATGGAGTTGAATGGCAGCTGGGTTTTCAGCAGTTGGAGGCTTGAAGAGGTCCATAGGGATCCATCGAGGGCGAGTCTATGTCCAGAGTTTATTGGTTTGAGATGCTCTTGAGATTCTGGTGCGTTTGCGGCAAGATGTGGCCGCCAATGGGCTTGGTGCAGTGAGATGCGACTGCAATGGCCTGAAAAACCAAGAGGGATTGACGGCTTTCTTTGACAACTGAGGTATTTGGCAGGTCCAAGTGACCTCAGACACAGTAACTTGGGCTGAACGGTTTCAGGAGGTGCTGCAGTGCAGTCTTTAACTGTAGAAGTGGCATTTATGTGCATTCGAGAATGAGGGTCTTGAAGGTTGTTTGGATTTCCAGACATTGTTGAAACAATGATATGAACATCCAAAGACATGTGGGGCCATATGGCCTAATTCTTCTTCAACAGTTGCTTAGAATCACATTTTTCCGGATATCCAGAGATGAGGTGAGCCTGCAGGAGCTCTCAGAGGACTGGCAAAGCATCGAGGTGCCGTTTGCACCCCAGTCCTATCGAGGCAGGACACCATGAGACCATATGAGACCTTGGACGTCTAGGATCGTCTTGGGAACAGTGTGAAGTAATTAGTTATAAAGTTATACGTTTTGAACATCAATCAGATTCTGAATTGACGTTGATGGATTTTTTATTCCAACGAGTTTGCTACTTTGTTTAAGTCATGCCGCCCGCAGAAAGAGTAAAGCCGTAAACATGTGGACGTGCTAAAGGCTCCACGCAAACTGACTGCAGGTGTTGCTTTTGTCAACTGGATGCACACATGGCCAAACGCCAAACAATGGCCAAAACAAGCTCCAACATGGGTTTCAGATGGTTTCAGCAGTCAATCCCCCAGTTGGACGACTCTGATGCAGATCCTAGACATCCCCAAAGATTCTGGCGCAAAAGCCTGAGAATGGTGGATGTCAGGGCTTGCAACGAAGATTGCGGCTGTGGAGGCTGTGTGGTACCGCCGCTTGGGTTGCGTTTTCTTCCACGGCACACTTTCATGCGGAGAATGGGTCGGACGCACACGATGCGGCCATCAACGACACCTTTTTGTCGACTTTGGTACAGTACCTAGACAAGTAGAGCCGAATTTGGTGCTAGGACGAGAACTTTATTTGGATGAGAGTTGGTGCAAAGCTGGAGTGCTGCAACTATATGTGGATGCTTGTGACTGGGAATGCGTGCCTTGGCTCAAGTGAAAGAGCGTGCCTTTGGACCGGGTGTTCGTGGCAGAAATGACTGTTACACAGTTATGCACCATGGCATCGCCCGAAAACAGCCACGCGTTGGACCACTCCACGTGACGTGTGCCATCCAATCCGCCTGCCAGACGTAACGGAGAAAGAGGGGGCAGGGAGAGAGAAGGTGAGACGTGGAAGAGGCCGACTTCCCAGACTTCCCCCGCACGTGAGGGCGTGAGCTGTGACTATTTCCTGATCTTTTTCTCCGGCCAGGCCTTCTACCTGAATTCCATTCCCCTGGGCGTGCACCGTGGTGGCTATGACCCCTTCAATCTATCTTTGCCAGAGATCTGTGAAACTCGCCTTTGGCTCACCATCCGCGCGTGGGATCCCACGGACGAGGGCTGTGCCTTCACGGACACTCCGCCCATCCCCTGTGCCTGGGCGCGGATCGGTGCGGATGGAGGAGGGGGGGCCTGTGTGTCGTTGCTGGCCAGTTGGAACTCAAAAAAGGTAGATTTCATCTAACTATGGTAGAGGGTTGCTATCTACTAAGTAAATCTTTGGGCCCCATTGCAGAAGACGTCCAATTATCGGCGATACATCCGATATATAGAATTGCTTTACTTCACGCACTGTAAGTCCATCAATTCCACCAACCTGGGGCTTTCCAAATCAATGATTGCATCTTCAACATGAACAATGGTTACGCACGCTTTATATAAGGGGCCTTTGCATCTTGCCAGGAACTGACATTTCTTCTTGACGCAGTTCAGGTCACAGATGTTGTGAAACTGGATGGCAGCCGCGCGGAAAACAATCCCTCAAGCCTTCGTCCATCATGCCACTTGAGCTGTGGATAGAGGGCCAGAGCTGATGCTGATGCTGCTTCATTTGGATGAACAACACAGAACCAAAAACTTTTGAATTCAACCCCGGCTGTGCAGAGATGCAGAGATATTTCCACAGGAAGTGGCAAAGGCCACCCAGAAAGTGGCACTGTAGGTACCTCACCGGAGGAGAAGTGTTATCTTTGCTCCGTAGGTACCTCTTGCCGTGTTTTTCTCTTCATCTGAGGTACACAGCGGTCACAGGACTTTGGCGGCAAGGGACGCTCGTTTGCATGCTGAAAAATGAGTGGCAATGGTCCGAACATGACTGCAGTGCTGTTAGTCGACAACACAAGGTTGTGGATTGAAGAACTTCCTTCATGCTACATCCATGACCTGGACGTCTCGGCCTTTTGCATGAGGAAAGGACCGGCCGTTCAGCAGGGGGGGTGGACTGAAGTGCCCAGAATGCTCGGCTGAACTGTTTTTGTGCAGCCCAAAACAGGCCCCCAAGCGCAATTTAAGAAGCTCCAGGTGGGAACATCCCGTCCTTGCCTGCAAGAAGTTGACACCAGTAGGAAGCAGGTGAAATTGCTGGGATGATCTAGGGATCAACGTGAGATAACTTGAGGATGATTGAAACGCCCAACATGATGGACGAGGAGTGATCCAGAACACCTGCCTCCACAGGAGACAACCGCCCTTCAGGGCAAAAGAACATCACCAAGCCCTTGTAGATCTGAGAAGGCATTCACATGCATCCACTGTGTAACTAATATCCACATAAAACAATTTAACGACCACTGTGGAGCTGTTCTGGCGTATCTCATTTGCGTCAGTTCGTGAGGTTCTGACAGAGAAGGAGCTGAAGGCGAGGAACGAGGGCAGGCCGATCGATCGGCCACAGAGGAAGAGTAGGATAGGAGGAGAGGCCTAGGCGAATGGGAGATGGGCCATCTACTGAAAGTGTGCTGGAGACAATCAGTTGGAGGAAGAACGTGGTGCTTCATGTCGTACAGGGGGAGGGAGTCTTTAGATAATGCCCCAACATGAGCTTCGAAGTGAGTGCAGGATGACATCGATCCATTTTGTGTATTCTTTGTGCTTTGGCAGAAGTGCAGATTAAACAGTTTAAACACTATGTTGGTCTCCACTCCACATTACGAAGACCACTAGGAGAAGGGAAGATATATTGAAACACTTGAAACTTGAAAGCCAATAGAATTGTTTAAACATACTGTATATTTGGTAAAATTATGCATAACACCCGAGAACATGAAAACACGAAAGCACCTGTGAAACATCTCAAGAGGCCAGGGAGATTCACCTCGCTGGTCCTTCCAACGGCTTTCCACCTCCAACGAGGTCCAAGTGGTCGCAAACTGTGCCGAGCCGATCTCCATCGAGGCATCCTCGGGGCGTGACGGCCGTCCCTATCGGGACGGTGAAAAAAAGTTGAAAAAGAATCAGACAGAATTCAGAGGACTGAATGTGAAAACATGTGAACACACAAAACATGTGTTTTTCAAACATCGTATGTTCATCATGTTCCATACGGTCCGCTTGCGCAGCGCAGCTTGCTATCAAGGTCTATCGGGAAGCCCAAGCCACAGAGCTCATAGCGCATGCTGCTGGGCCTTGCTGCGAGATGCACTAACCTCAACATCAGTTTGGAAGTGAGGTTACTATCGCTGAAACTTGTTTGCACGCACCTGTTGAGCTGACAGGCACTACCATGAAAAAGCATCATTGCCAAACATCCGGGCTACGGAAAGAAATGATTGTGAGCCTCCGTCATTCTCCTGCAACCTTGTTGGATCAAGCGCACCTGGCCAAGAGGACAATTTTGGTCAAGCCACCATGTCAATCTCGCCCCCTCACTTCGACCACGACCGTGATGATGAGGCCAGAGGGGATGGGTTGGGCGCTAGTATCTTGGGTGAAAAGAGGAGGGCGTTAGTCACTGATGGGCTTTCACACAGCCAAGACTTCTGGCGGCAAAGCCCCGTCCGGTCGGCTGAGTCTGTGATGCTTAGTCTAAGGTCCTTCTTTGAACCACTAGACTCACTGGACGAACGAGGGCTCCGTTTATGGCTTAGACAGATCATCGCAGATTTTCCATGTGTCCCAAATGATTCCCACCAACGCTGCGGCCCGACATCGAGCGTCAGGTGCATATCAACATGCCTGGAGAGGCTGTGACGGGATCGTTCGGAGAGATCGCACGGCCCTTAGGTGAGTGCGAGGGGTGCCCCACCTCTCGCTGGAGATAGATGGAGCGGTGTTTTTTGGGGGGGAAGATTCCCAAAAGGGCGATACACAGGAGGCTCGGCTCCAGCTAAATTTCCTACTATGGATTGTGTGCCTGAGACAATGCACAACAAGGGTGTTTAGACCTTTGCATTGCTAGCATGTGCACCTCTATCTTTGGGCCTTGGCGATGTGGGTGATCCTCTCAATTTTGGATTGGGTCATATTCCAAGAGAGCAGGTGATCATTGATTTGCTTCCTTACTACCCCTTTCCACCAAGCGCGCTGCTCTTATGCACATTCTTGTGCAAGTTGTGCAAGGAGACATTGCAGATTGCACGGCGGAGCTGGATCCGCTTCGGGCATCTTGGCGGAGTGGAAGTTGTTGAAGGGTGAGTCTTCTTCATGTTGTTCGATTTGTTTAGATCGGGAGGAACCATGGAGAACCCGAGAATCGGAGAAACAGACAGCTGTTTCTTTGGCTTCGATCTCGTTGGGGGTTGCCCCCTCGAAAGATCGACATGTTTTTCAGCGGATTTGCTATGAATGGGAGCTATGGTTGGCGGGGCTTTGTGGCAAACTAGTAAATACATCCACTCCCTAGACCAAGATGGGAACTGGTTAAACAAGCCGGCTCTTGGACAAAGACCAACCTCGGCAACCAATATTATACCTATAGATCTTCCAACAATGCAAAATGTTTGCCGTTGGGTTTGGGTTTGGGTTTGTAAATGTAAAGGCGTAAATGTTGCATAGTTGGAAGATCTACTTATAGCTACTTTATTGAGCTTTGTATAGCCTTTTACTTCCAGCAGTCTATGAGTAGCTCTAGATGACAGTCAAGTCTCGGCAGTCAATCTGCTTGATCCTCGACTTGAGGATCGCTTTTGCATGCTTCACCACACTCTTCAGCCTAGTGGTGGCCACCTCCATGAACAGCTCGGAAGCGACCGAAGGCCACCCGGATGAAGACCATGGCGCCAAACCAATCGTGGCCGGGGGGGTCAAGGACCTTTTAAACACCTCGTCCTCAGACCTCACTTTGATTCTCGGCACTTGGATCGTTTTGGGTCAATCATGGTCAGAATCGTGAAGACACCGGCAGAAACGCCAAGTCAAAAGAAACAGAGTCCCTCAGAGATAGCGCGCCTTGGCGCAGGTGCTTTCGAAGATGCCGGTTTGGCGAAGAGCACCGCCTTCCGCTTGACCGAGAAGCGCCGCTTAAGTCCAGCAGCCAACCCCTTTGAGGGAAAGCCATTCTATGTGAACCCCAGCTACAGGACTCTTGGGGCTGAAAAGATGTGAACCGAATTCAGCCGTCCCTCGCCTGGTTTGGGGGAAAAACCTGCCTGGCTGAGCCAGAAAGACCTCAGTTAAGACATCATGTTTGAAAAGAACAAGACGTTTGATAGCATGTTTAGTGTTGTGGCATCGCCAAGTGACATGTAAGAGGACATCACTCCAGAGCAGCATCAATACAGCGACCGGCACCGTGAAGACTACTCTGGAGTCAATGATGAATGTACCGTCCGCCTATTGGTTGGACAAGAAGGACAAAATCTTCGGTAGCACAACCAGTTCCATGGAGGGCATTTTGGAAGATGCTTTGAACAAGCCAGTCCCAGAGCTGGTAGTGTTCATCGTGTATGACTTGCCAAACCGTGATTGCCATGCAAAAGCTTCGAATGGAGAGATTTGCTGCAAATACAAGCCTGACGGCAGATGTGACTACCAAGATGAGGCTGATGGCTGCAAAGATGGCTTGAAAGAGTACCAGAAAGAGTACATCGACCCGATCGCAAAGGTTTTGAAGAAGTACTCTGGCCGTGTTCCAGTCGTGCTTGTTATTGAGCCGGACTCGTTGCCAAACCTGGTGACCAATGAGGCTGACCCAAGGTGTGGCAATAGAGGCACCAAGAATGCCTATGAGAATGGCGTTAGCTATGCAGTGAAGACATTAGCCAAGGCAGATCCATATGCAGGTATCTACATCGACGCCGGTCACGGTGGTTGGCTGGGTTGGAAAGACAACATGAAGGACTTTGTGAACCAAATCCAGCGCATGGACGTGGCCAAGGATATCCGTGGGTTCGCATCAAATGTTGCTGGCTACCAGTACTTGGGGGAGGCTTGTGATACTTATGATTACTGCCTCGGTGGTCAGCACAATGGTGACTCTTGCTGCTATGACCCATGTGGACTTGTCAGCGAGTGGAACCCCTCTCACAACGAGCTCATGTATGCCCTCCATTTGCGAGAAGCCATGTCCAATGGCATCGGAGGCTTTGAGCCTCACATGATCATCGACACGGGCCGCAACGGTGTGGCAGACATGAGGACACCACTGTGCCGTCAAACTGCAAGAGAGTGCTGTTAGCAATTTGTTTGAAAGCATGATGTTCATGTTTGGCCTATTGAAAGGGAAACTGAAGCACGAAATGGCTTGCAAAATTGAACCGCTTTCAAAAAGGACCCTCTAACATTACTCTATTTCATAGCAGTCACCGCATTTCATAGCATTGTCAAGCATTGTCTCTTTTCTGCCGGTGCGAGGAATCAGTGCAAGAATTGGTGCAACATCCGCGGGGCAGGTGTCGGGCACGTAGCCACCACTGCCACTGCCAAGCCAGATGTTGTAGATGCTTACTTCTGGTTGAAAACTCCAGGCGAATCAGACGGTTGCACACAAATCTTGCCAGATGGAGGCTCCTGTCCACGTTTCGATTCAGATTGTGCTTCTGAGGACAGCATTGGCTCCCGTTCTGGTGAGCCAAGAGCCCCAGAGGCAGGCCAATGGTTTGACTACCAAATCAAGCAGCTGGCCTTGAATGCAAAGCTGGAATAAGCAGCTTTTCAAGGACCTACTGTACATCTTTTGGTTTGGATTTATCCTAGTTGGCTTTCCTGGGCTGTAAAGCGTGACCGTGACGGAATTCTACCCAGGAGCCTACAGTACAGATTGCGTGGCTTATGTTTTCAAGGGTTAGGCATCCTGCCTGGAGGCTACAATAAGTTTCCGTGAGGATGCGAGGGTAGCAGTGGTAAGAGCTTACCAGAAATATCCGAGTCTTTTGAGACGCAATATTTCCCAATGGTTTCAGAGGCGATCAGTCACACTTATATATATATATATTCGTCATGAGGAAGAATGTGCATATCAACAAGAGGGTAGCTGTTTGGCGGAACTTGTAGAATCTTGTAGATCCCTCGTCCACATTGCCTTAGCGGGCTTTTGTTCAAGCCCGTCAGTGTTGCTTGCGCAGTGCAGATGCGAAAGGTTACTGTATATACTATTATATGCACCCGTGTTAGAGGTTGTGCGTACTTCACTTTGCATCACTCTCCTGTTTTAATTGAAGACACATGGGATGACTGTGCCTGGCCAGATGCCCCGGTGCTCACCACTCTGCCCCAGATCCGCTGAATTCACTGTTAGCTTTGTGCATGGCACCGGTGCCGAGCCACTGCAGTTGTTTTGATCCGTCGCCTCGTTCATGCCATTTCATGCCTGTTGTGCACAGAAAGCGTTACGAAGGAGGGCCGAGCATCCAAAAAGCAATCCATGATATATATATATATATATGCTTTTTGCTGCAGTGTGTGGCCTCGCGTCAGTGCAAACGCACGCTTGCTGGCCTGCGAACGCACCAGACGACCGCTCGGAGGTGCAACGAACAGTCAATGACCCAAGCGTCGGGCTCATGTCTGCAGCTGATGCTGGAGCAAAAGCGGCCAATGCTTCCAAGCCACCCCGGAGATGGAACTGCCACCACGTGTTGTTTTTTTTTTCAATTTTTTGTGGCAGACATTGCATGAGAATGCATGAAGGTGCATGAAGCGAACATGGGCGTCCAAGACAGCACGTGTTGTCATTGAATCAGCTGAACTTTTTTGCTGGTTGACCCTCTTGAGAGATTTCGATGGATTTCGGGTGGATTTGGATGGACGACTTTCGCCCACGACTTTCGGTCGGCCGGGGCATGATCGTCGGATGCTTGGAGTCAGACGAACTCGGTATATTGCGTCAGACGACGTAGAGTACTCTGGCGTCACCGTCGCCACCGAAAAGTGGCCAAAAAGTGCCACTGGGCATGCACGAGGAGGGCTAAGGGTGCAACCACTGAAAAGTCACCGAACAAAAACATTCGCAAATGCTGATGTGACCTTTAACTTGCAAGTGATCACAAGTGATCCTTATTGACAATGTAGTGATTGTGATTGTGCTATAGTCTCGATGTTATCCATATATCAAATTCACTGTGGATTCATCCTTTGAGCCTGAAACCTGAGCTACGCTTTTCGGCTCCATCAAGACGAACCTGCTGAAGAAAAGACGAGTCCGTCAACGCGACCGTGGTCCGGTGCGGAACACGCGACCCATCTCGACTTGAGGAACTGCTGGAGCAAGGGACATTGATTCGAACCAACGATTTCTGTTAAACAACACGTTTGAATTGGATGCTGCAGGGTTGTCACTTTGTGCGCTTAAAGACCCAATCCTGCGTGATTCTTGATGACGTGCCTATATTATGGAAGAGAACCGGGTGTTCCACCCGGGAGAAGCAAAAACCAATCGGCTGAGGCATTTGCACCTGGACCAGGCCCTGGATGCATGGTCACCGGAGGCAGGATGGGCTTTATTAGGTCCAACATGGCAGCAACGACGGTTGGTTTGGACGTCCTGGTTTAATCCGCCTAGCTCATTTTGCTAGCCAGTCCGCCTCAGAGTTGGAGGATTTTGTTTGTCAACAGTCATCAACAGTCAAGGTTGTCTGCCCTTTTTCCTGTTGATTCGCGAGACTTGGCCTTTTTGCATGTACCAGTGGAACGCTCCATAACTCGCGATGTTTGAGACTCAGTCATGCAAACCTTGAAAACCCAGCCTGACCCAGTGAACAATCCCATTTTGGGTGCTTAGAAGGTGCTTTTCTTCTTGCCCCCTCTCCGATCCACAAGCTCCTCCGCTCCGCTCCTTCGCCCACGCCCAGTCGCCGCGGCTCTACGAGCTGCGCGCCTCGCTGGGAGCGTCGGCGTTGCTCGGCGCGCGCGGGGCGCGGAGTCGGCGCTTCGCGCGGCGGAGCCTGGAGATCCGCGAGGAGCGCGTGCTGCTGAACGGCGAGGCGCGACCGGCGGCCGGCGACCGCGGGCGTTTGGAGGCATAAGGGGGGAGGAGTTGGATGGGAGAGGTGGCCTTGGGAGCTGGATCAGTGTGCAGTGAGTTGATGTAAGATGATGTAAGTCGTTTTAATATATGTACAATGATATACCGGAGTTTCTTTTCTTATGCGAAGCTAGCAACTTGAACCTGCAATCAAAGCGAAGAACCTACCCTACAGTATAACAGCAAGCTAAGCGCATAGGCATAGTCTTCTCAATAGACCTAGCTGTCGTGCTTGTTTAACGGATACGGCCTCACAAGCTCCAACCAGTGGTGTTGCGCAGGCGGTCTTTATGCACGGTGTTTTGTACCAGGCGTGGTGATGCGTGGTGCTGGAAAGACGTTGAGGATCGTTGAGGGTTCATTTAGGGGGGCCTTCTGCACAGCCTGTGCGCGTTCCTTAATGGCATTTCGACGGCATGGTGGAAGAGGTGTTGGTATGTGCTGATTAATCATCACTAGTTGGGGTATAGCGCACTTGGAACATCCGAAGTATCTAACTTTTATAAATACTCTCAAAGCCTGATTCGACAAGTATGTGTTTCACGGGCTTTCCTGGTAGGAATCATAATCATGCCCCTAGTTTACCCCGGTGGTTCAAGATTGCTGTTGTTTTCTATATTTTCAGCTGTGTGTGCGATCCTCTTTTGTTGTGTGTTCAGGAAGCCTAGCCGATCCAAGATGCTTTGTAGGTGAATCAGTGGGGTAGAGCTGTAACATTGCCTTGTACCCAAATCAGGGGTGGAAGGACTGCGGGTTCAACTACCTACTCACATGCACTCACAGATTTTCAAGATGGAGATCAGATTCCATGTGTCGATGCCAAATTCCTTGTTCGCCTCCTTTTCGCCCCAAAAACCGGGATAGGCCTCTCTTTGCTCAACGGAGATGGGCAGACCGGTTCCAAAGGGCCCAATTCCTCGGGTTTTGACATGTTCGACCTCCTGAGTCGCCAGGGATACTGGCCCGAATCGCTCCTCACACCTCCGGACGCGAGCGCGGTGGAGCGAGACCTTCGTGCCATCAAGGCGATGGAAGACCTGGGAAAGGGGAAATTGGAATGATTCAGATGCAGAGTTTGGGCAAATTAGACTACAATTATTTGTGTTATGTGCCAATTGTAAAGGTAAAATGTATAATTTGCACCTAGCTGGGTTCAAAAAAACGAAAACACTTTGCCCACCCCCCAAACGCCCCCTTGAGATACACATCAAGGTGTGCGAAACGATAAGAAAGGGTGAGTTGAAAAACACGCGACGCACCCTCGGAAAAAAGATTGGACAGTTCGGAATTCGAGATTCGACGGTGTTCTATGTAAAAACGGCAAACACTTGCGGGTTAATAGCGCGCTCACGCCGCGCAAAGTAACATTGCAAAGGCACGCAAAATACATATAAAGATAACATGATGCATTTCGTACTACTGTCTTAAGTAAACCCATTTGGACGTATTATATATATATATTGGATATTTATATTAACAATTATATACATGCTCATTGGAATTTGATTGGTTTGCCTTTGATGGTTGAGGACGTTAATTTAATCATTTTTGGGGCTTGGTTTGAAGACCTACTACCTACTGTGTGTGTGCGCGCAGATGCCCAAAAAAACACCACAAGAAGGAGAGTATTTCCGACTTCACCAGTTGATCCGTTACAAGTAAATAGTCAACAACACGGAATATTATGTAGAATATATATATAATAAAGAGTTGATGAGAGCAAAGGTCTTTCAGAAAACTCTTCCAGGCACAGCTCCTGCAGCTGTCCTTTTCTCCTTGTCCTGGTGCAGTAGTAAACATTTTGTCCTCCTTCCTCAAGACCGAAGTGCACGCGGTTAAGTTGGATTGTCGAACTACCTGCATGGGCCCGAATTTGCATGATAAACTGATTTGTGCCGGAATTGTTGAGTGGAAGGTGGCTTATTTTCTTTCTCGCTTCATATGCCGAAGCACGTGAGATTGGGCTGGATGGCATGAAAACCCTCGAAGGCTCCTTCAAAAGCCAAGTGATGCACCCAGGAACTTGATCCCCGCCCGGGCAAAGCCCTTCCTCCATTAGCGCTCTCAGTGCTTGATGTGGCCAGGCCTGTGGCTTCAACACCGTGCGTGTGCATGCAGTGGTGATGCTATACTTTGCTTCAAGAAGGATGTGTTTTTCCCCAAACAGTTTACTGTTGGGGTTCTATCTTAGAAAAATGCGCTGGCCACACTCACTGGCCCCGCCCCTGAACTCTGTGGCTCGTCTCTGCGGCCCGGCTTACTGGAGAGGAGTGTGGCCGAACAAATAGCGATGTCAATGCCGACACAAAATTCATTGATGAAACAGTTTGCTCTTGGGGTGAAGGTAGGACGTACCAAGAAAGCATTGTTTGACTAATATTGGTCTAAACGAAACGTGTTGAAGCTGTTTGGGGTCTATGCTGGTCTAATTGTTTTTCTCCTTCACTTTTCCGATAAGCCATGATAAGCCATTGGCTTTGATCCGGGAGAGGATCGAAGAGAATACAACACCTGGTGTCACCGGGTGCTTGTTGAGCTCAGTTCGGCATGTTGGGACCAAGGTCATGAGCACTACATTCTATTCCCTTTGCGACGAGCTGGGGCTGATGGTTTGGCAGGATCTTTGGCTGCCTTCAAGCTTCTTGCATGCCATCGCATGATGAAATTCTGTAGTATACTTGTAGCCAGTATAGCTTGAATTGCTGGAGAGGTATAGGATGCTCTAGGACTGCATGACTTACCACACTGCTCACACACCACTTCTTTGAGAGGTACCTCAATGGTTGTTGAGAGGTACCTCGCTTTCAAACTGTTGCTTGTCATGTTGAGTTGGCCACTGTGGTCCGACCGTATTTGCCAACCGGTGGAGTTGGCACACGGTGAACAAGTCAGACAGTCAGAGAAACCCAGGGGTCACGGTGAACAAGTCTGCCGCCTGGTTTGCCAATCCAACATTTTGATATATAATGTAAAGCGGTAATGAAGTTGAGCAGTGTGCTTTGCTTCCGTCAGGACATGCCCGCAGGCGACATGCGGGCCATGCCCTTGTGGTCGGATGGCCGAGCCATTGCGGAAGAGTGGAAACTTGGCTGTTTGCATGACTGACTCCCTTTGAGAGCTCAACAACATAGCCGTACAATGCCGTGCAAACCTCCTCATATAGGAGTTGGGACTGCCATTGGTCCAGTCGAACTTCACACTGGACCTTCATAACAGCGTTTTTTCTTAGTTTGAAGAGGTTCCATGTAGGGCTGAAAATTTTGTGGTGCCCTTCTAGTGCCTGAGCCCTTGCATCCTTGCACCTAAGGGCTGACCCTGCTTGGAGGCACTGGCATTCTCAGATCTTCACGGGCAATTGTCAGAGCTTGGGGGTAAGTTGGTTTCTTTTTGCTGGTTGGCGTAGCAGCGTAGCAGTTGGGTTCGTGTCCTAGTTAGGGTTGTGATTTGAGTCACTTGTTGTTTCGTGGCTTACAACGCCAGTTGCTCACGGCCTTGCTGCCCACACTTTTGAGATTAAGACATCCATGAGTTCCATGATGGCAATTGAAACATTGCCCCGTAGAGACCGCCTTCCAGCGGTCTGAACACCACGACCGGCACCGGCACGAACCGCCGCTCAGCTTGGACGAGATCGTTCGCAGCGAACCCAGCCAGAGCGCCTTCTGGCAGGAACTGCAGGTGGGTGACGAAAGCTTATGAGCATGTGGAAAGCCTGTAGCACAACCGCCGCTGCGATACGTGGTGCAGACAAGTTTCTCTTCAAGATGTTCGGCTTGATTTTGTATGTATTGGAGTCTTTCGAAAGATGGAGTGGTTCTATTCTCGGGTTTGCTCGTTGCATCGCAGAACAACAACATAAGTAACATAAGCAACATGACACATTTTGTATCGTGGTATCGTAGAATCATGAGAAACAGGAACTGAAAAATCAGGCCAACAAACGAACGACGAAGCGACTTTTTTTGCAGGCCATGATCAAGTACTTGAAACCCTATCCCTCGATCGTGAGCTGGGTGCTCTTCAATGAGGGCTGGGGGCAAGCAGAGACCCAGGCTCCAATTCCGAAGGTGGTGGTCTTCAGGTGGGTTTGCAGTATACTTTTAGTAACTTAAAATGATTCAATGGATCCACCAACGGCTGTTTCGAAACACTGCTTGGATCCAAAAGGCATCGTAAGCCCCAGTAGAAACCGACCAGCTTTCCTGCTGAAGAAGCTTATGTTGGCATCAAGTGTCCGAGAAGTTGCTAGTCACTTCTACATCGTTTCCTCACTTTCTAATAGCTTCTTGTTACTACTAGTAAGGCATTTGTTACTAGTAGCGATGCACTTGTTCCGTTCGTAGCGAGCCTTGTTACTTTTGGTGCTTGGATTTGTCCGCTTCACTTCTTTACCCCAAACCGGCTGGCCATAGGGCTGGCCAGCACCCTCGCAAACCCGGTCCAGGCGACGGTGGACTGGGTGCGTCAATTGGATTCCACGCGCTTGGTGGATGCAGCTCGGCAAGCTGCGTGGGTCACGTCTAGAGCTTGTTTGGAGGACCGAACCTGGTCACCAAACGCCCGACGTTCCAGGAATTAACAGAACACTGATGCTTGAAACTCGACGGCTTCCAGCAATGGGGTTGTTGGTGGGCTGGAGTGTGCCAGAGAATATGATTACTGTACACTATGTTGGATTCATGCTGAGGTAGGACCTTTAGTCCATCTCCAGATTTAGTGTATCATTTTGAGAGGGAACATTAAAGTTCTATGCCACAGCAGAGGTGGACCAGAGGACGGCTTTTTGGTTCACGGCTGTGGTTCAGGCACATTGCAGTTTGACTCACCAAGCAATACGTCAGAACTTGGTACTTTCGGGAGGCTGCAGCCACTCCACTGAGGCCGTCAGCGGGTGGAACGAGGTTGGAAGTGCGTTGGGGGATTTTGCCGACATCCACAACTACGAGCCTCAGCATGTGTCCTTGGAATCTACTGTTTAGTGAATGTGGGTTCTGTATTCGGGACTCGGCCTCCAGATGCGGAACCTACTGGGTGCACACTGCCTGAAAGAATCATGGAAGGACCAATGACATAGTCCTGGGATGGCCATTTTCCGAATACCAACAGGTGGTTTCGCGCTTCCATGACGATTTCAGTGAGTTTTGTAGCATTGGGTGACAGAACGGTGCATGGGGGGGCATGAGGTCATCAGTCACCAAGCTCAAGAAATCAGGCTTCAAACTCAGGAATATCACTCTTAGGTTGGAGGCTATCCCTACTAGGTTGGCCATTTCTATTAGGTTGGAGGCCATTCCTATTGGGTTGGAGGCCATCGCTAGTAATTAGGTTGGAGGCCATCGCTCTTAGGTTGCAGGTTGTCAGGTGTGATTGCAGTGTCGCTCGAGCTCCTCTTGCTGACAACCTGGTGTGGGTTCCTGTGCCTTGGTTCCTGTGAAACCATGTGCGGTTTTAGTTCTGATGTTCTATCAACCTCAAGGCCATCCACCATCTCAAAGTACTCATGCATCATGGATCATCATGGGCAAAAGATTGCAAAACTACTTTATGTTCTAAGCTGCAGGTGTCGCACAACTGAGGAAGACAACTCCTCTGCCTTTGGTGCCTTGCCCGAGAGCTTTGTAAACTATGCGGCCTGGGGCTACAACATTTCAGGCACAGAACAAGCTGACGCTTTCTCAAACCAACCCAAGTTGATTGATAAAAAGGTACAATGAACATGGGAATCCCCGAAATCCTCATTGACTGACCCCCACAGAAGATGCTTGCATTTGCTGGCCGTGTCAACGCATCCTACACTCTTGGCGTGTGCTTCAAATCTTGTGGAAGTCCATTGCGCCTGTGCCACTCAGGGGCCCAAAGTGTCCAGGTTGGCCTCTAATGATCTAATGACTCTTTTAGTGCATGAGAACCTCGGTTAAGCGGATGTTCTATCAGCCAGCTGCGGATGCATTTGCGGATGGCCACTGGTGATGGAACGCTGTTTTAGCGGGCCAGTTCTGCATCAGGCACCAGCTGGTAATCACCCCTACATCAGCCATGCTTATGTCAGGAGCTCCACAAACTATTATTCCAGTCAGTTCCCTGGGCATTTGGCCTTCCTTTTCTTCGCTTGGCACAAGAGGCCAAGGAGATCACGAGTGAAAGCTGAGGAGCAAGAAGCACAAGCCGAAGAAGAAGGACACGAAGGACAGGGGGGTGAAGCACAAAGTCCCAAGGATGTTCAGGGCACCTGGTTCGACAATGCCCGGCGGGCTTGTGGCATGCAGCGCTATGACCTTTTGGCCCGGATCGCTTTGTCCTTGTCTGATTTAGACACACAACTGTCACTGGTGCACGCTTTAGCCTTCGAATGTTTGAGGCGACCACCTGATTTTCTGAAGCTAGGTTGTGCTTAAACAGTTATTTAGTTTGTCCTTTTATGTCCACTTGTTTATTTGTTTGGGTGGTGTTTGCTCGTGTGCATCCTTGTTCTTTGATTACGGTATTTCGTTGATCGCATCATTTGATGCTTTTGCATGCTGAGGAAGATGGTCCTGCGGACCTTCCGGCAGCGCGACCTGCCGCCCGAGCTGGGCGTCCAGTTGCTCCGTTGCCTGGAGCCTTGGCTGCGCGCACGTGTGCGTGGCATCAAGACCTGGAACGAGATTTTGTATGTGTGGATCTTGGCCGATCGCCTCCAGGACCAAACTGCTGAGGATGTGTTGATTTCTCGGATCAGTTTGCGGGGGGAAGCATTAAATATATCTTTAAGATCATGAGCTCAAGGACTCTGATGATAAGCAACTGACACGCCACAAGTCTCTGTTGTCTATGGATTTTTTTGTGTTCTCTCCTTTCAACTCGGAAGAGGAGGCCTGGAAGCTCTTCAGGTTGATGGAAGATGATGAGCATTTGCCATCTCCCAATGTGGCTACCTATACAATTCTCCTGCCTGCAGTGGCCAAACATGAAGGACCGCAGGAAGCATTGCGGATCCTTTCCAGGCACAGGGCACTGGGCATTGCGCTGGAACCCATCAGTTGCTTGATGATGGGAGTCATTTTCGCAGCCTTGCCTTCTCCAAATCTGGGAATCTGGGCGAAACTGGAGAGGCACACCGGGCTGAATGTGACCTCCCCGTTTCTAAATTTTGAACAAGGGGGGCGTGAATTATTGGTGAGAGGGGGCACGGCATGGTGTGTGTGTACGTCGAAAAAACGCATGGTGTGCGTTGGAGTGTCGAGTTAGTAGTTGTTGGTTTTCCCATGTATGCGATGCTTTCGCTGGTTTCTGGGCTTTCTTTCACGGCCTGCTGACCACCTGAGAGAGAGAGAGAGCTGAGGAATGGCTCGACTTTACGTGCGGAAGGGTGAACGACTCCTGAGAGACCTCCGAGGTACGGTCCGAATTCATTTCGCGGAGCAAGAGCCACAGCCCCGCGGTCTGTGATTCTTTAGACCTTTGCTGGGTTGACACATCCAACAATGGTCTAAGAAGGTTTAACGAATGTTTAAGTTGAGATTTAAAACTATGCGAATGCCCCATAGTTGCCATAGTTACTTGTAGTGCGCAATTTGCGGAGTCAATGTCATCGGAAAAATAAAGGCTGGACTAGCCCTCCCTTGTCCACGACAGTTCTCACCTGGAAGTGAGATTTGGACTGCGAGCCCTTTTTCTAGTGGAAGGTTGGCAAGCATTCAATCCTTTGAGTTGGCTTCTGGGACTTTGTGTTGTTTTTTTCTGGTTTGCAAGCTCCATGGAGTTTCTTGCATGTCTTCTCTTTTTGCTTCCGTCATCCCAGGTACGACTTGACCTTTCTCTATGCCACAATGATGGCTGGATACCGACGCATCGGCCGGACCAAGGATTGTTTCACCCTGCTGGGCGTGATGCGGCAGCACGGCATTCGACCGAACGAGACATGGAGTAGTAAGAGGATCTGGGAATGTCCAGTTCCGGAAGTTCATTGTTTGGATTTGTTGATTGAGCTTCTGAATGTTGGATCTTGCATAGTAAGCTCCGTCCTCCCTGTTGGCAAACATTTTAAGTGAATAGGGTCAGCCCCACCAAAAGTACAAGTACTACTACTACTACTATTACTACTACTACTACTACTACTACTACTACTACGAGTACTAGTAAGCACCAAGCACCAGGCACCAAGCATAATAGTAGCAGTAGCAGCAGCAGTAGGAGCAGTAGTTGTTGTTAGTAGCAGTAGTAGTAGTAGTAG